TGTACTAACATTGCTATTTCTCAGGCTCTCGATAGTGATAACATCGATACCGCCAGCCCAGTCTTCGATACGCTAACATTAAGCGAGGACGATTACTGTAAAAAAAAACCTCAAAAAAATGTGCAAACATCATGTAAAACGCTGCCCACTAGTAAAATAAATCTGCGGAATGGTACAAATCTGAATGAGGACTCTTTCAAGTCTAAGAGGAGCGTCACTTTGGCAGATCAGAAAGACGTAGTAAAGAGAGAAACAAGAAGTCCCAGCAAAAAAATGAAAAAACTAGTTAGTACAATTGCTTCGCAAGCTCTCAAGAGAAGGGAAAAAAGCAATTGCAACGTCCCAATGAACAATTTTAAAGAAAACCAACGCATTTCGCCTGGAAGAAAGACGTTCCCGAAACTAACATCTTCACGTGTCAAATCTCTTAAAGAGGCCAACAGCTCGATGCCTGAGAAAAGAGACCATATTTCAGAAGTAGAGTTTAAAAAGGATTTGGTTGCTGCACTTGATAAGAAAAAGAGTTCGGTCCATAAGAAAAGGTCAAGTTCTGTGAAAAAGCCCAAAGAAAAATCTCTTTCACAGTCTTCAAAAAAAGTTAAAATTGATGTCGATGATAAAATAGCCAATACTGATTTTACTGCTAAAGAAAAAGACCGAATCACGGCCAGAAAATCTGAGCGTAGTTCTTCCTCCCAAAAAAAGTTCCTAAACTTAATGCAAGACTTTAAGAGAAACGTTTCCCCGCCCACGTTTAGTAACGCCAAAAAGTCAGCCGACTTTGAGAAAAAACAAGAGACTGATGATAAAGTATGTGTTCGATCATTATCAAAAAACATACCTGAAGCTAAACATTCAAGAATTAAAATCTACCCAGCAGACACTGGGCATTGTGCGGTACCGTGCATGCCCAAAAGACACAGCTCAACACCGCCCCAATCAAAGGAAAAACGTATTCTCTGTGAAGAGAATGACATTGTAACGTTTGATGCACAGGAACCGTGTACAAACAGCGTATTGTCTAACGTACAAAAGCCTCATTTGACTTCAACTGAAACAGCGAAAAATGCGGCCAGCAAAATTTTTTCTCATTCCTCAGGAGCAAAGATCTGTATGAAAAGCAAGTCTTCAAACAGGGGGCATAGTCTGGACTCCAACACTTTGATGCAAAGGAGAGATGAACGACCAGAGTCCACGTCAACCTTGTCGAACGAAGCGTCCTTTGACAATGGCTTTGATGCGCTAAGGAAAAGTACTAGTTCAGCGGTGTCGCTTTTAAAGATGACGGACTGCACTAGCAGCCAGGAGGATAGACAGGACCTCGCGGGCGGCGACCAAGGGGTAAGTAGCGGTGGGTTCTCCTCTTCTTTCACTTCCGTCAAGAGCATGACTAATCTGAAGCTGGATGAGTTCAAGGCCATCTGGCATGGTCAGAATCCCAAAAAGGTGTCTGCCATGTCCACCTCTAGGGTCTACATCAGTTCGAATTCCTACATTATCCCGATAAGAAACCTGGCTTGGAACAGTTCTTCAGATAGGCCCAGCTTTGCAGAAGCACCTGAGAAAGAACAAGAGCCTAACAGCCGGCACATCGAGCTAGGTCTTATCTTTGTGATGCTTTTTATTCAGATAATTCTGCACTACTTTGTTTCCTCGCAGTAAAGCCTCTAGCAGACTAGTGCGTCTAGGTACGAATGTGCTGCTTTCTTTCACATGCTACCGAAGGTTATATGCTTGGAAAACTAATGTCCTTTACATGTTACTTTTATGAAGGAAAAAAAAAAGCTAATTGAAATACTTGAGCGGTTGTCTCTGCCTTTTTCTGGTCGCAGGTGCTTGCTGCAGTTTACGTGACAATATAGAAAACAACACAATTATCTGCAATGCCAATTTAAACAGTAATGCATTGGAGAAAAAAGGCCAACTTAATTTTGAAACACCGTAGCTAACTTAAATCAATGTCAAACCAAAATAACTTATAAGTCCGGGTTCAATTTCTGTTGCTTTTTAAAATTAGCTCCTAATATGTTGCTTAGCTTAGTTACTTGCTTTTACGCTGATGTGTTTGTGATTCGATGAACTTTCTGAATCCCATGTTCACGAGGATGATCAGTACCGATTACCATAAGTATAAACAGGGTCGGCCTTAGGCAAAGTGAATGTGGTGGCCCCAGATGAAATAGAAAAATTTTAATCAACAGCGAAAAACTCAAATTACGCAATTTATTTCAAACCTAGTGTATTCCAACAATAATACTGGGGACAGGTTTCGCTATTTCTTCTCTAAAAAAAAATTGTTATGAACCCTTTTCGATGCGATCACCAATCTGAGGCCCTAGCTAGTCAACCTAAGGTTGATCCTGATATGAATCTTACCAAGAAAAATGAGCTCTTGCCTGTTGCCTACAACAGGATTATATAATCAGAATTATTATTGCATTAAAAAGACGCAACACTAGATCGACGTGGAAGGGGGAGAGTGTTACAACTTTTGTTTGAAATGATCTAGAGACCTTTTTGGCTGAAACTGTCACAATGTCAATTCGAAACTTAACGCATAGGTCCGCTAGACGCCATCTCCACTCTCCATCAGTGTTGACAAATTCAAATGCATCTATAAAAATACATCTATTTGGAAAGTATTATACCGAGTATTCATATTGTTTAAAATTGTGTGTTTTTGTTGTTGTTCAGACCTAAATTTTTCAATTAAAAAAAAAAAAATCAAATTGCGCACATTGCTATAAGCGTAATTTGAAATTTTAAAAACCTGGCTACGCACATGGGTAAGGGTTGAGAAAAAACAACTTAGGTGTCATTGGAAAAATCTTCGCCAGGAGTTTCTCGTGTATTTCTTGATCTTTCACGTCGTCTTCACATTGAGTTCGGCGGAACTGTTTTCATTAACAGGAAAAGGGGCGAAGGTGAATAACTGGCGTCTAAGACAGTAAGTTTTAGGCAGGAAGGATTCATTAGCCTTGGCTAGCAACCAGCCTAGCAGAAGGAAAACTAATTCAAACCTCTGCAGCCTAACATCCATACCCAAAACATGAGAAAATGTTTCGTGCGTCAACCCAGAGGAAAAATAAGGAGCCGCCGACACTTAGGCAGTTGCAGCCAACCCAGAGGAAAAATAAGGAGCCGCCGACACATAGGCAGTTGCAGCACACAGCGCTACACTCCGTCAGAGGCTGCGACGTCGCTGATCCCAAGCTGTATATGTCGTTTGCAAAAAATTACATAATGTGCCCTAGAATTGTATTTTTTGTAAAGAAATGCGTTTAATAATATCAGATATAGGTTTGTGTAAGTTTTTAAACTACTTCAACGGCTGGTAAATTACATGTTTCAACTATAGTGTTTTCCATGTTAGGCTATAAGTAAAGAGATCTTGTAAGACGCTTACAAACCAACATCTTTGTAAGATGTTGAGATTTTGTGGGTCCATTCTGAAATTTCGAGAGTTCGCGGTTTAAAACTTTTATCTTTTTATCAGGGTGACATCTTCTCAAATGATCCTCCAGCGTTTCATATCGACATAAAAAGTCACTTAATTTAAGCAACCGCTTGTTTGATAAGAATTGAATTAATCCCAATTTTAAATAATCACCACTGTACAATCTACATTTCTTTTTGTTAAGCCCTACTTTCTATGATCGTGGACATCTCATAGACCCCCCAATTATTTTTTTTCACTTTCGTAGACCCATTGGAAGTCTTCGTAGACCACTTTGGGAATTACTGCTCTAAGATATATCTTGGCAATAACCATGTGAATGTTAAGTCGTCAGGCTAAACTTTAATCCTGGCTTACACAATGTGATGATTAAATGTCCAGTTAGATTCCAAACGAAATCCGACATTTTACATTTAAAAATACAATGTCAATATTCTATGCTCTACAAATGAGGTTTTGAAACTTTTTTGATCCAGGGACCCCTTCATATTCTCAAAATTTGCTTACGTACCCCTAAGTGAAAAAGCTACATAAATGCATAGTACTGGTATATATACACCAGGAAGTGTGGTCGAGAGGCTAAGTGCGCTTGGCTACCTATGAAGGGGCTCGAGGTTCCACACCCGACTCGGGCAGAGTTGTCTTTACTGAGCCCTGAAGGTAGCACGGAAAAACCTTTTCCTAGATACCCCCCCTCCTTTTCCAAACTGAAATTGGACCAAGCGCTCCGAGCATGCTATAAGCATGCAAGTAGCGCTATATAAAAGCCATACTTTTATTTATTTTACAAATGTGGTAGAAAAAATTGTTGAAGGCGTGTTTATTAAAATAACTTTAAAAAAAAAAATAAAAAATTATGACTTGGATAAGCATGAGATTTGATCTAGAGTAGGTCTGGCTCAACATTTGTAACCAATTGCAAATTTTAATGAGCATGAATTTCTTTCCAGCTTCTTTTATTTATCAAAGTTCGTTATGGCACTAAATCGAGGTTCTACCAAACAAGAATACAGGAAAGCAGCCAACAACATTCTGTACAATGACCCATATCGCAGGATATTGGAATCTGTTTACAAAACAAAGTTGTTTTGCAAAGAATCGCTTTTAAGTTCCTTATTTGTGGATATTTCAATAAGCTGCTCCTGGATTCCTCTGTGATAGGGATCTGAGTTTGCCTACCTGCAAAAGGATTCATTACCCAGTCGGGACTATCCAAGTGAAAAATGTCTTTAAATGCTTGGTTTATGCTGTCATAGAAAGACCTATTAAACAGTAGTGAGGGATGAGTTGATTTATAATAAAAAATTCTCAGATCAGATAAACTGGAATTTTGCGAAGAAATTTTTTGGATGTATACAATTTTCATTTTTCTTTGGACCCCTGCAGTTGTCTCAGGGGTCCACGGACTACATTTTGAGAACCACTGCTCTACAATTATATTCTGCCCTCAATGTTTAAAAATTACAATGCAATTTAGTTGGACTACTTCTTTTGTTTTGACCCTCCCCCCGTCCTAACACTGTAACTAAACACAAGTCCACAAGTCTATGTACACATATTTAATCACTGACTGAATGCCAAGCTTGTGTCTACATGTTTCAGCAACAAGTTTGTTCAGAAGGTAAAGGAACATATATAGTAATGGATGAGTCAAATAAACTACAACCAATGAAAAGCACAGACTTTTGAATTACAAATAAAGATCCGATACTATTACACCTCTTATATTTTTGTGATTTAAAAAACTGAACATTAAAGCAATAAAACAAAAGAAACATGAACATAACAAAATATGTGATCTCAAGAAATGAAACAAGTAATACATTCAATACTGGTTGAAATAAGAAAATATTGATGATGAAGCAAACATCATGAACATTTCCTGAACTCTGTGGCTACATTTTACATGCGAGATAAACTATTTTGACGCCAATATATCAAGGACAATCCATTTCAAAATAATCAAATGTAAATGTTTCATTGTATTCTAGGTCTTTTTCTTTACTAATGTACTTTGACAGACAATAAAATGAAACATAAATTATTAAAAACTAAAAAATTTATGTGATCAATCAACTTAGCTTCAAATCACTCTAGTCACAGTCAATTGTTAGGGGCAAATAAAAAAAAAAATTAAACAAATTAAATTCAATTAAAATAGAGTTTTGGATGTTAGCGAACTATAATGTTGAACTATAACTAAGTACTCAATATGATGAATGTTAATAAAAAATTTAAAAAAAAAGGGGTGGGGGGCCCATTTAAAACAAAGCTATAACAATGACATCTGACACATCAGAGCCAGTAACTGTAGGTTCACCTCATAACACAAGCAAACAATTCCAGTTTTTTCTTTCACAACTTAACTTAAAAGGAAAAGGGGTAAACTGTATTGACAGGGTAACAAAAATATAAGAAATAGTGAATAAATCACACTATTCGAGAAATGATAGTTACATGAAAGTAATGAGAACCAAACAATACATTAGTATTCACACATCCATCTCAAAGGAAAGAAAACATAGTCCACTACAATGTCTGGAAAAATGAATTTAAAAAAAAATGTAGGGAAAAGAAAAGCTCCATTGCTAACTTTGATAACTTAAATACAAAATGAAATGATTTAGAAGATGATATAGTATATCAGATAATATTGGATCATTAAGACGAATATCAATTTTTGTTCTCAAAATATTTTTTGCATTGCTTTTTAGATTGACCTAGCCGTGGTTACATTAAAACAACTATGCAAATTAAAAAAAAGACAAGTTAAAAAAAAAAACAAAAAAAAAAAAACCCCTTCCACTAAAACAGATTTACGTAAGATTTTGTGTTGTAAATGCCAGTAGTTTTTCGGTTTAAGCACGTTTACACCCTCCATTTTAGATTGGCAAATACAATATTACAATGTCAAGGGTAGCAGTATCAATGGTCTGCTGATTTTTGTTTTTTTAAATATAAAATTATTATAGATACAGTACAACATTTTCTTTAGTTTTTATACTTCAACAAGCCGTTGTGATTCATCACATCAATGGCATGCCTTCAAAATTTATTCATTCCAGCAGACAGCAACCCCACTGCTATTAAAGGATTATGCAAACACAGGCCAAAAACTTTCGCCAAATCTTACATTTTAAACCAACCACCAAAGCACTTGCTATCAATAACATCACTAAACGTCAAAACATGATCCTCCCATCTCTCAAACAAATCAGTTGGTGGTCTCTGCCATGTAAGCGTCCAGCTCTGTGTCCAGGTGTGACTTGGTCTTGGCCATGTACTCCTCCAGTTGGCTGTCCAGGTCCTGGGCGGAGACGTTGACGTTTCCTCCTCTGCCACCGCGACCACGACCACGACCACCCCGTCCACCACGGCCTGGGAACCTTCCTCCCTGTCTCATCCCACGGCCACGACCACGCAATCCTCCCCTTGGTTTGTTCTGCAAGTTTTGTCCAGTGAACCTGAGAGGACAAAAATAAACAAGTTTTGGGTTTTAGATATATGTAAAAAAAAAATTACTAAAACGCAGAAATTTACTTCAGCCAATCAAGCTTACTTATGTATAGTATTTTTTGTTTCTCTATGTTAAGTATCTTAGACATCAGCTTTTGTGTAAACAAAAAAATTGTATACAGCTTTTCTCTCCAAGCATTTTAGGGAACGTTAGGATATTACGTGACACCAAAAAATCAATTTTTTTAATCCCCTGCCCCTCTAATACCAAATCTTAACAAAACTCAAAAATCCCTCCTCCCCCAGGGGACACAAGAAAATTTGAATTTTACAAAAGACAAAGACTTATTATTTACTATCATTTTCCCAAATTACATTTTTATCAAGGTATCTATAGAAATGATTGGAAAAGTATGGACTTGTACCAGCACTTTGATGACATTCAGTTTTTTTTTTAACCAAAGGCTTTTCATATAAATTGGGCACTACTGGATAACTCATGATATTAAAAAAAAATGCTGGGATATTTTTTTCCATTAATATTTAAAAAAAAAAAAGTGGCAAATGAAAAAAGGACCTGTGCAAGTCAAGGGACCTGTTAATATGTTAATGATAATTTAAATTTATAAAGGGCTGTTAACAAACATAATGTAGGCTCAGGGGGCAATGATAAAATAAACAAACACAACAGTTACAATGACAAACTGATCTAAAAAGTTTTGTTATTTCATTTGAATATTTTTTGTGTGGTTTTGTAACATAACGAATCTTTACCCCCCCCCCCCCCACCTTTTGTAAACAATTTTTAAATTTTTATACCCTCTCCCCTTAAGCCATTAAGCAGTATCCAAGTGTTCCTTTACCCTTCCTTAAAATGACATTGTAATCAAATCTGGTCAACTTAAACAGCTGCTTCTTTTGAACCTAATCCTAGAACAGCACAACCATCTTGTAACATAAGAAATGTTTGTGTAATTAGATCAAAAACTAACCAGAATCAACTGTCTGTACATATTTACTTAAGCAATGGCCATAGTTAAATTGACCATGAAGTGCCACCAATTTGTTGATAAAATACTAACACCCCACACACGTGTAAATTTGTTACAGAATTAGAGAATAAAACTATGAAATTGCTATACTAATGATTTCCTACACCCAGAGCATTGGTGAAGTAATTATAATTAAAAAATGGTGCATTAGATTAGAAGACTAACAATTAGAAATATATTAAAATTCCTTAAAAAAAAAAAAAAAAAAAAAAAAAAAGCAAGCAACATAAACTAGCTTCACTAAAATAAAGGAACAATAGTTTAAGAATTTCTTTCCACTCCCAAGCCAGACCTTCATTTTTTAAAACTTTCTTGTTCAAGCAGATAATTATATGGCACTACAATTTGAAGAGGTAAAGACAGCAGGGGAATCGCCCAAAACAAAGTCTGATTGCAAAGTGCTACCCTGCCTCATGGTGGCACCAGGATGAAAGTGGTCTTGAAAGGAAAGCTAGGCCAAAGGGTAGCACAACAAGGCTCCCACGGGAGTGCCTAAGAGGGTGTGAGAGCATCCTCATTGCACTGTGCGGGGCAAAATAGAGCTCCTGCAGCGATCTGTTAATGTCCAGGCGCCATCCCTCAAGGGGCCATTACATAAATGGCATGTCCAGCACGGTTAGCTTGGTAGATTATAGGAAAATGACGGGGACCCCGGTGGTGCGCCTTCAGATGCATCTCTAGTCTGCAGAATGTCCGTGTCCACAAAACTAAACTCTAAGTTTAACTCCAAGTCTCACCCCCCATCAGAAAGAATGGCATATGCGAGGTGTGCGCCGTTCATCTAGGCCAGTAAGAGGAAGCACTTGTTCGCTTTAGCTAACTTAGGGTTCCAATTGCTATGCACAACTCTTCATGAAAATTTTAAATGATGGCAAAGTGCTGTCACAGGCCTATGCTCCATTAGGAGTCAAAGGATTAAGCCAAGTTTAAGTCATAACTTTAAGAAAATAAAAAAATAAAAAATTAAGTATAAATTCCTAAAGACTTTGGTATAAAAAAAAATTGCAACTTATTTGAAGCAGAACAAAAAAATGTCAACTCTTGGGCTACAACTAAATTGAAGCTCAAAATCAGGCAGAGAAGATTCTGTTAATAAAGACAGCGGAATGCACTTCAAGAAGAGATGCTGTTAAAGGAAATTCTGAGACTGGCTCAAAGCAATTAGACACAGGATTGAAACCACTTGCTATTGCTTGACTTCACATTTGTTAGTTGCATTTACAACTTGTTATGACAATGTCATTATTGTGAGTGAAAACAAAATCATTTCATTTCACTTTACATATATATATTATATATAATCTTTCAACATTTTTATAAAGAAATAAAAATATATGCAAAATAAAAGATTTCTTTCAGACCAAACATAAAATCTAAGGGGAAAAGGCATGCAACAGCAAGCCTTGATAACTCCATGCTTGCTGACCTGTTTGGCCCACCTCGGGCATGACCTCCCCGACGTCGAATATCTCTACCCCTAGAGTTATCATCAAACCTGGTTATTAATGAGTCACTATTTCTGAATGGGACAAAAGACACACATAAATGACTAACTGAAAACTAAAATTTCCAAGTCAAGAAATCTTAATAAAAAATAGAAAAGAAATCTACACTCCACAGCAACCTATATAGCTAGAAAATTGACTCTAGAAATATAAGCAGCTATTTGGTGTGAATGGTAGCCAGGCCTACAAGAGTCAGGCTAAGGCACATATCATAAAGAGCTTGTTGCTCAGGTTTCTAAAACAGGATACAAAAACATATAATGAATTTATACATCAATTTAACTTATTCAATTTGTAGGTTTTGTGTTCAATTTCAAATCACAATTAAAAGACTATTACAACTCTAAAATAGTTCACATATCACAATAGTGGGTCTATCATTCACCCCATTATGGGTGATTAGACAGACGATCATTTATATATATACGATTTTTCATCCACAAAATATCACAATGCTTCACTGATGTAGGTAGAGATTTAAAATATTAAAATTTTATTTTTACTATACAGTCCTGTTAAAAGGTGATGCAAGTTTCAATCTTTACTTCGGTAAGTTTCCATATAATATTGTAAGTTTAAGTTTATGCTGTATATTAATAGATAAATACTGACTACAGACAATAGACAAACTGAAGGAGATCCTCATGAGCTAGTAATATGTGTGTTTTTGGAAATCTTTAATTCATAAATATATATAAGCTTATATCTTGAATATTTGATTAGAATCAATGTGTAGTTAGCATATAGGAAGAAGCAAGTACAAATTCTGCATAAAAGTCTTATAATAATAAAAAATGTAACTAGTATGTAATTTCACACACAATATAAATAAATAAATATATATTATCTTTATACTGTTTTAAAAACAATATCAAACAAATTACTAAAGAAACTATTAATGATTTAAAGAGTAAATACATGTAAATACATTATAAAAATAATAGTTTAGCCAACAATACCTGTTATAGTTGCCTCGACCACGTCCCCTGAAATTTCCCCTGCCTCTGAAATTTCCTGGATGAAAAAAAATTTTTTTTAGCAAATACAATAGGAATTTTTTTGGGGGCTACCGTAGCAAAGTTAAATTAGAAAAAACAAATCCGATCTTTTGGCTAACAGACCTGAGTTAAGAATTTAAAAAAAGCTCCTTAAAAAGCACAACATATTTTTATTTCACAAAAACTAACCTCCTCTTCCTCTGGTTTTGTTTGTGAAATACAAATTATCACCTCCTCCGCTC